TTTAAAAAACCTAAGATCATGGTATCCAGTCCCATCACTTCTGGTAAATAGGAGGGGAAGAAATGGAAGCAGTGACAGATTTTATTTTCTTGAGCTCCAAATCACTGTACATGTGACTTCACCCATGAAATTAAAAGACACTTGCTTCATGGGAGGAGAGCTATGGCAAATCTAGACAGCATATTAAAAAGCAGAGCAATCACCTTGCCAACAAAAGTGTATACATTCAAAGTTATGGTTTCCCCAGTAGTACTGTATGACTATGGCTCATAAGAGGGCTAAATGCCAAAGAACTGATGTTTTTGAATTGCGGTGTTGGAGAAGACGTTTAAGAGAAATTGGACTGCAAGAAGAGTCAATCAGTCAATCCTAAAGGAAATCAATTCTGACTGTTCTTTGGAAGGACAGATACTGAAACTGAAATACTTTGGCCACCAAATGAGAAGTCAGGATTCGCTGGGAAAGATTGAAGGCAAAAGGGGAAGGGAATGGCAGAGGATGAGATGATGAGATAGTATCATTGAGGCAATGAACATGAATTTGGGCAAACTCCAGAAGACAGTGTAAGTTAGGAGATCCTGACATCCTTCTGGTCCATGGGGTCGTGAAGAGTAGGACATGACTTAACAACTGAATAATGAACAATAAAGGTTAATGTACATTTCAAAAACCATTATGTCAGGTGGACCATTTTTTAGAGTATATAATAAATACAAATCTAAGTCTTGCCCATAAACACTTTGTGAGTCCCAACACAAGAAGCATTTTTTAGATGAGAAATTATAAACAAACATAAATGGTTAAATTACTGTGATGTACTAGAATAAAATCAAGAGATGTTTTGATAACAGAAGGATATACTTGTCAATCATTTTCCTACAATTCAGTGACATCACCTTGGCCACTCCCACCCAGTCACATGGCTGGCAAGCCACTCCCACCCAGTCACATGGCCAGCAAGCCACTCCCACCCTGTAACATGGCCAGCAAGCCACTCCCACAAAGCAGGCCACACTTACAGAAGAGGTTTTAAAAAAATTTGAAACCCACCACTGGTTACAATGTACAAGTGGCTCAATGGGAAAACATGTGATTGAAAGGACTGAAATTTACCCTGTATTTTCGTGTTAAAGAGAATTTTGATAAATTGATGTACCATTGATATTTGTCACCAGAGAAATTATCCATGTAGGAGACGAACAGGTAGAGTAAGGGGGTGGAGTCAATAGATGAATCAGCAGAGATTCATTACATTTCCACAAAGCAACCCCTTTTGAATTGCTTTAACTCTTATTTAGTGCCATTTTAGTGCTGATCATTAGTGGATCAGATTCTTATGTGTAGACGCATGACCAATAAATCATCTTAACAGGAATTTAACATTTAGTCCTGATTCTGACAATTTAGAATGTATAAAAGCACTTTGAATTTATGATGGAAATGTGAACAATATCAATAAATGTTTGCTTGTATGGTGGATATGTTTTAAAAAAACAAATCTGTCTTTCTGCAAACAATTTGCTGTGTGCCGTGATGGGTGGGCAGGGAAAAAAGACAGAATAGAGAAAAACAAAGAGAAAAGGAAGCTTGCACTTGAATGACTTTTGCCTTAGTCCTGCTTTACTATTGCCAACACATGGCCTTCAATTTGATGAGCTATATAGGAACATTGCTTTCCAAATCAGAATGCTATCTGGTTCTTAATTTAAAGAAGCCCTCAGCCAAATTCATTAGATAGATAGTTGTTCTGTGTTTTAAGCTTATCATTTCTCAGGCAACCTTCATTTTACTATATTCAAACTGGTGGGAAAAGGAAAGTCTGGGTGCTACATATAAAATCAGCCAAAATAAGTATCAGTGTACTATTATAAAGTGACAAGAACTATTATTCTGGTAAATGTGATCCCATGAAGAATGATGGCCATTGCAAGAAATGGGGAACTATAGCCCCAAAGAATACAGTATTCCATGCTGTTGTTTACATGCCCATTTATTTGCAAACGACCCACATAAAGGCACTTCAGGGTGGATCTCCATGCTGTGAAGCTTCAAAATGTATCCCAGATTATAGTAAAATCTGGAGGCTAAAAGGAGTTCAGGAGCTATTACCTCTCATAAGATTTTGCACAAGGGTAAAATTAATCTTTCTGATTGCAAGCTCTCTGTCGTACCTAGCAGCAAAACAGCTCTCCACATAGCAGTGTAAAATATTTGAGTTAATGTTAATGACTTGACTAAGTGAGAGTTATATGATTGCCTGAAAGTAATGGATGATTACTGGTTCAAGTGCCTTGGGCATCCTGGCTTCTTTCTTCAGTGCCAATTTTTTAATTTTGTTCTATTATTTTCTTCCAGCAGAAGAGTTAAATCTGAAGAGCAGATAACTAAATTCTGGCCAATAGCCACATATTTTATTCTCTTTCTTTTCAGCACTGACATATACTATGGGGAGCCATTCATCACAAATGCATGTGTAAAAATGGTTAGGCATTTAAGAAATGATAAAATGAGTGCACCACAACAGACTTATTTGCTTCTGAATAATAATGCTACTTCAATCGAGACAGAAACATACCCTAATATGGGCTCTTTTTTTGTTGGAAAACTTTACAGAGCACCGAGAGCTGTAGGCATAGGAAGTGTATGGAAGGAGTACATGACTAGAAGGGATACAAGAATTGGTATGATGAATAAATACTGGACCAGAACTTGTGAAACAGCTATTCAAAATCAAAGGAGATTCTCAATCATCCAGATCATGCTTTTTCAAAAAGGCATCTGGACTTTCTTGGGTTTTTTTTTTTCATTTGAAAACTTTTTGCTTCATATTCAAGAAGCTTCTTCAATTCTGAAGAATCAGTTCTAAAATGAAGAAGCTTCTTGGATGAGAAGTGAAACATTCTCAAAGAGAAAAATAAACAAGTCCAGTTGCTTTTTAGAAAAAGCANAAAGTAAAAGCCTATTTAAACTGCAGTGTCTCTGCTGGTTTGTGTGTTCTCCAACGCAACTCTCATAACACTTCGCTGAACGTACTCGCTCTCCCAACAGGGAGCTTACCTAACAGGGAGCATTGTACTGTCAGATTTGCAAAATTCTTTTAATGTAGCTTTGTAATAAAGTAGAATTACCTAGTTCAGTGATGGTGAACCTTTTCAGCACAGAGTGCCAAAAAGGGAGCTGCTCAGGGGGCATGCGCGCACAGGAAAATGAACTTCCGGTTTCCAGAACACACACGCAACAATCAGCTGGCTTTGCATGCATGCTCACACCAGAAAACAGAAGACCAGCTTCCAGTTTCCGGCACTACTGCACGCATGACAGCCAGCTGATAGTTGCACACACATGCACACCAGAAACCCTGAAGAGGAACGGGGGATGCCATGCGTGCTATGCGACATGACTCCCTGTCCCTCTTTGGGCACGGATGCCATAGGTTCGCTAACACGGACCTATTTCATCTGGTTTGCCCTTCAAGGCTGACAGTATCACAGGTCTAAAAATCTATGGGATCTTTCACGTTATTTTTGTGATGCAAGATTTTGACACACATCAGCTCCACAGAGTTTATAAAATTACTTTTAGGAGTCAAATAAAGATTTTAGATTGTCTTTTCTTTTTTGATTGGTCAGTGGTCCCTGATGCTGTACAACCCACCACTTTTGAAACCAAGAGGCATTTAAAAACAGTTGGTAATATAAAGGTTGTCAAAAGAAAAAAAAATGCAAATCTTTCATCCTAGTAGGCCAAGCTTTTTGTGAGCCAAAGTACACACAGCACTGTGTGAGGCTCTCAATGTTTCAAAGTTTTCTCATTCCTCCCCAAGTTAAATATACTGGAAACAAACTTCTATATGCTTCTAGCTATTTTTTTTTCCAGTAGAAGTTTTAACTTCTACATATGAAAAAAAAAATGGCTAAATTTGCACTTTGTAGCGATACCCTTACTTTTTAACCTATTGTCATTGCCCCAGACCAGGGGTTGGCAACCTTAAACACTCAAAGAGCTAAACAGAAGCCCCACATTCAATTTTGGAGCTGACTGGAAGTCCGGTTCCCCCACCATAGAGTCTCCTACTAGTGCGACATCCTTTTTTCCTCTACCTGTCCTAACTGAAAGCCCTATCAATTGTGGAACCGACCGGCAATAGGGAGCCGCAGCAGAGGGATAAAAGAGCCACATGTGGCCCCAGAGCCGTGGGTTGCTGACCCCCGTCCTAGACCATCCCAACTACAAGTGGAAAAAAAAGCAAATCTAACCCTGTTAACTTTTCCATATTTATCAAGGTTACCTAGAAGCTACCATCTCCCTGAATTTCATCAATACAAACATCAGTACAGTCTTCCTTAAGCTAGTCAATAATCACTCAGCCTTGAAGAGATAAACTAATCCAATAAATATAGAACAGTGTTTCTCATGCAGGCTGGGGAATTCTGGAACCTGATGTCCTTACATCTTCAAGTGGCCAATGTTGAGAAACGCTGATGTAGATAGTTTGGTGAAGTGTCTTCAATCCCAGTTGGTTAAAGGAATGGAAATCTTGCAAATAGAACAATGCAGCTAATTTTATGATCCAGAGTAGTTGTACCCCAAACATTAAGCTTAAGCAAGTAACAGCATTAGACAAAGAAATTTTCAGTAGTTTGTTGCACAAAAAGCAAAGACAAATTATAAATTTATTAAAACTAATTTTATTATACTAGTATATACATTTTAAATCCACATGCAAAAAGATTGCATTTTCAAGAATTATATTTTATTTATAAATTTTTATCTTTGCAAAGATGATGTGCTTGCATAGATTTAAGAGAGCACTCTGTTAAAGAGCTAAATATAGACATTAAATAACTTAGCAATAAATTATCAATCAAATTTATCAATTCAATAATATTAAGACTTTTGTCTCTTCTATGTAATAAAAGTATAAATAGCAGTAATATAGAAGGGAGAACTATGAAAGACTCAGATACACTATGTCTAATTATTCCAGTCATGTAGGATTCAGAATTAAGCAAGTCAAACATTAAAAAAGGAGAATGTAATTTCTCCTCTAAGTCTAGTTGCAGATAGCAAAGATATTGTTTTGTTGAAGTCTGAAAATACTATTTTGGTCAGGTACAAAAATTCTGAAAGACATCAGCCCCCTCAAGCCAGTTTTGAAAGCAGTTGAGCCCTCTCTCACGGATCTGCTTTCTCCCTTTATCGGTAATTACTTCTCCAGTTTGTTTAACAATCACAAGTTTGGGAATGGCTGTTATGTTGTATTTCTTCTTCAATTCACTGTAAAAAAAAGAGAGAAAAATTGGCTATACTCTGTATATATAAGTAAACGAACAATTAGGCCTGTCATCAGTGGTGAAATTCATTTTTTTTTTACTACCGATTCTGTGGGCGTGGCTTGATGGGCATGGCAGGGGAAGGATACCGCAAAATCCGCATTCCCTCCGCACTCTGGGGTCAGCCAAAGGTGGTATTTGCCAGTTCTCCGAACTACTCAAAATTTCCACTACTGGTTCTCCAGAACCTGTCAGAACCTGCTGAATTTCACCCCTGTCTATCATCATTTGTCCATAACTGTGCCATTTGCCTATAACTGGTTCTGAAAGCTTAATCAATCCATCTGAGTCCTTAATGATTAGAAAGATGCTATTTCACCTGTGTTTCTCCAAATATGACTTGAAAGGTTGTACACAAATACAGGTGAAACTTGAAAAATTAGAATATCGTGCAAAAGTTCATTTATTTCAGTAATGNATTTGTGGTGGAACCATTCAAAGAATCTTGGCTAGAGCTCCCCATAGTCCCTTCATGATTGCATCTCATTTGTTTTTAACAAGTAGTCCTCAACTAATGACCACAATTGAGCCCAACCTTTCTGTTGCTAAGCTACACATTTGTTAAATGGTTTTTGCTCCATTTTACAACTTTTCTTGACACAGTTCTTAAGTGAATCATTGCAGTTGTTAAGTTAGTGACAAGATTTGCCACCATCACAGTAACAAGATTGTGAACCTGGCTTCCCTATTGACTTTGTCATAAAAGGTGATCACATGATCCAGGAATACTGTATCTGTCTTGTTGCCAAGCATCTGAATTTTGATCACGTGATCAAATGGGGATGCCGCAATGGTCGTAAGTATGAAAAATGGTCATAAATCACTTTCCCCTCAGTGCTGTTGTAACTTTGAACGGCCACTAAACGAACTATTGTAAGAGAGGGTTACCCGTACGATTACAAGTCCCATAACTCCCTAACAAAACATTTAAATCATGGGACATGTAACCGAGCCATCTGAAGGGCGCCAAATCGGAGGAGCTGACCGAAAGTTGCCTGTTCAACTCTAGCAAACGACCGATGTGGGGGGAGGATGCACGCCCCCAACCCTACTCACTGCTTAAGTGGGTCGTGGAAGGGCAAGGCCAGCCAGCCCGGGTGCATCTTGTACATAAAGCTCGACATTTCTTCCCGGCTGCGGTCGGACGAGATGAAGACGATCTGGAAAGGGGCCGGATTTGTGACGACATCCACCAATTCGCTATAGAAATCGCACAGCGTGGGGGTGAAGTCCCTGCAGAGGGAGCACCAAGCGGCCGAAAAGTATAAGCCCACGATTTTGTTCTCCAAAGCTTGCTCGGGGTCCACGAAGCTGCCTTCCAGGTTCACGAGGATCCGCCCGCTGAACAAATCCACCATGCTGAGAGCGGGAAGGCGGGCGAGCGACGAGCGGCCGCCCGGAGGAGCTACGTAGGAAGGGAAGGAGTCAACTGCAGGACAAACGGCCCTTGAATTGCTTACGCCGTCCCTCGCAAAACATCCACGGGACAACTTTTCCCCCCGACGGCGGGAAAAATGAGCGCCGTCCTTTTCCCCGCTACTGCTAACTTTGCAAGGAGGCTCTTCGCTCACAAAAGCGCCCAGGGAGGCGACTGGAGGCGCGGGGCGAAGTCACTCGGATCCGATCTCTGCCCACAACCGCCCTGAGAAAAATAAAAGCCCCGACGCCTGGAGGGCAGACACGTAGGCGGGAGAGAAAGAAAAATGAACGTCGGGCTCAGAGAATCCGATGAGCGGGATTAAAGGCTTGCGAATGTATTTGCCTGAGCTATAAATGGAGATGACGTTTTTTAAAAATAGACCTCGAAAGCCAGACTTAGAGGAGCGTTGGGAAAGCGCGCATCTTCTCAAGAATATTCCCCAGACCCGATTGCACCGCGAAGGGGCGTGTCTCGGTGGAGAAGACGGAGCGACAAGTGTGACCAAGTTAATGCTCGCCCTTCAAATCCAAGACCACAACGATAGGCCAGCAGAAGGTCGACTCAGGCGCTCAGTCCTGCAAAATGTGGGAAAGGAAGGAAGCTTGTTAGGAGTGGGAGTAAAGTGTACCCTCCTAGAGAACAGGGTGTGTTTGTCTTTTCGCATTGCACTATACTAGCATCTCCAAGCCTCGGGTACAAATACTCCAGTAACCTTCCTAGGAGTCTTCTTCAGCCAGGTACTCTAGTATATTGCCAATACGAAGCATTCTCAATCAGCATAACCACGTTGAATGAGAACTGGGAACAATGGGAAGGACTGGTTAAAAGCTGGCACAGAGCAGTGAAAGTAATTGCAAAAATCACGTTAACCTCCAGCAGAGGTCTTCAAACTTGGCTGGCTGGAGAATTCTGGGAGTTGAAATTCACAAGTCTTAAAGTTACCAAGTTTGGGGACTCCTGATCTAAAGGTTTGACTGAGGGGAACAATGTAGTCTTCCCTTTCAGATTTGTATTAGTGGAGGCGATTTTGGACTGGAATGAGGTGCCTCAGCCTGAACTTGCTCCTCCCTTAGATACTGCAGTTGTGAGATAACTCTGTTTTGCACCTATTGCACCCTTCAGTGAGTGGAAAGTGCTGCCATTGCTCCTTCCTTTCCCAATCAGTTTATCACTTCTACTTTTGGCTGTCCATTCAGGTGACTTTGGGGCTGATAAAGCTATTATTTAAAGGGCAAGCTGCTCCCTGCTGCATGTACACAGAGGCATTCACAGCCAGAAAGTATATCTGTATGCCCAGATACATGAGCATTGCCTTAACCAAGTTTTTTGAATAATTAATAATAATAAAAAAAATTCTTCCAATGTTTTTGAGTGTAACTCTAGGAAGTTCCATCAATGATGGCCATTAAGGAAGTCTTTTAAAAAAAAACAGACACAGCCATGCACTCCTAGCATAATTGTTCATATCCCCCAATTTCCTTTAAAAAGTTGCAGGCCTTATTAAAGACGTGCCTGAAATTTCTCCTGATAATTTTTGCCTTACTCTTTCCATCTTACAAGCACTCACTGTAGTGGAAAATGTCAAGCTTTGCTTTGGTTGCACAGCAAGTGCTCCTTTGAGAATGGTACAGATTAGAAGCAGACAAATTCAGGTGGAAGGGCCTACAGTTCTTGTTTCTATAGTATAGTCACGGGGAATTCAGCTGGGAATTCTGAGATTGCAGTCCCTGTAGCCAGATGAGAAAAAGCTGAACGTTAGTCTGTGAAGAGAAAGATCAAATTCAAGTCCTTCCTTCACCCTGAATGTCCTGAGTAATTTTAGGCTAGTCATTATCTCTCTTCCCATCCTACTACAGACAGTTATTGAGATTAAAACAAGAGCTGAGTGCCCTGGGAACATACACTACATATGCATAAGAAAGAAATAATACGCGGCTATAGAAGTCTCCCGCCTCTTGTATTTTTCTAACAGTCTGGTAATTATATGCAGTGCAGTTTAATTATGTAGAGTGCAAAGCTAATATCATCTAGGGATTTAGAAAAGAAGACCCTAGAGAGTGAAAGTTATCTCATTTCTTCTAAAGGAAAACAAAACCAAATCATCGAACATGATTCTAAGAAAAAGTGGATTATTGTACTCTGTGGAGATGCAGTTAACAAAAGACCACTTATAGGTCTAAAATATTTATGACTATAAGATATTTAACTGTAAATATAGCAGCTTTCCACAAAGTAGATTTTGCTTGTTTATGTTACATTTAGCAATTAAATAATTGTAACACAATTATAGATCTTCCCTTGAGAACTATTAAACAGCAAAAACATATATTTTACTTGACTATTTGATGAAAAGGCTAATTTTAATATACTGCAGATGTTTAATAAAATGTCATTTTCTTGGAGGAGCAAATGGTAAATAATCATTTTGTATATTTATTAGACATCGACACCCATAATTCCCAGCTCACATGGTTGAGAAATATTATAATGCAACCAAAAACCAAATACAGATAGTCCTTGATTTGTGACCATAATTGAGCCTAAAGGTTATGTTGCTAAGTGAAACATTTGTTAGGTGAGGTTTGCCCCAGTTTACAACCTTTCTTGCTACAGTTGTTAAGTGAATCACTGCAGTTGTTAAGTTAGTATCATAGTTGTTAAGTGAATCTGGTTTCCCCAGTGACTTTGTCAGAAGGTCGCAAAAAGAGGATTACATGACCCTGGGACACTCTAACCTTCATAAATATGAACCAGTCGCCAAACATCTGAAGGGGATGTTTAGGAAAATAGTCATAAGCCCCACTTTCAGTGCTGTTGTAACTTTGAACTCTTATAAATCAAGGACTACCTGTAGCTGGTTTGTGAGGTGATAGCCTCCTAGTATACTTTTGATTGCTGTCAACAGCAACCACTCACTGCCAATACTCACCTTATTGAAATTTGAAATATTTAGTATCTAAGGGGAAACTGAAGAGTTCTGCCCATTTCTCCTCTTAGCTCAAGTATCAGAAGAATAGTAAAAACTTATCAACAGGTTTTCTGGAAGACTGATAAACTTTCATCCAAAGCAGATATAGAATGTGCTGGAGATGTGCAGAAAGAAGGGGGGGGGGGTGGCTTTACCTCAGAGCCCTTCTCTTTTCCACCGAACTGTCAGATGGGGTTTTTTTGAGCAGAGATTTGCTAATCTTTAGGCTGGGAGAAATGCTTTCCATTCTTATCATTTGGGTTTCCAGAAGCATGTTAGATCTGCCTTCAGAATAGTCAGAGTGACAGGTTATCAGGGCACAACACATCCATCTATTGCTCAAGTAACTTGAAAAGTTGAGGGTGAAAGTTCGTTCCCTAAGCTTGTGGGTTGGTTTCCAAACGTTTCATTACCAGATTAGGTAACATCTTCAGCAGAGTTTAGGAAATCCCCTAAACTTCTCTGAAGATGTTACCTAGCCTGGTAATGAAATGTTCAGAAACCAACCCACAAACTCGGAGAACGACCCTTCACCCTCATCTTATACCCGAGCTACAGACATACACCACTATTGCATAACTTAAAAAGTAGTTAAAACATTCAACCTATCCATAATTACTCAAATCCCACAAACTTTTAGGAGAGTAATTATTCCCCCCTCCACCCATAAGCTGTTGACATTGACTGTGAAGAAAAAGGCCAGGGGGATCTAAAAATGCTGCAAAATTGTCTGTAGAAAACTAAACAAACAGAACTACCTACAACTTTATGTAGTGGCAAATAGAAACTTACTTCTCAGGGCTTCAAAGTTATCCTGGCATACTTTTTTGCAGCTTCAAGAACTGTGGGAATCTATATTAAGGCAACTATGAGTTACAATATCTGAATTGCAAAACTTGAGACAACCACAAGATTGCAGCAAAAAATATGCTATATATGGGGACCCTATTTAAGGGCTGTAAGTCTTATGCCCATGGATCACATATGGCCCACCAGACATAGCAGTGAGCATCCTAGCTTCCTTGTGACTGCCTACTGGCTTCCCCATTGACTTTGAATTGACTCCATTGAACCTAGCAGGAAGTTTTATGTCACATGTGGTTCTTGTTTAATAACTCATGATCTGCACTTAACAATGTTGAGTGCTATGTAGTCATGTGATATTGCATTTTATGGCTGCATTGTTTAGCAACACAAATTCCTGTCCCAATTACCGTCATTAAGCAAGGATCAGCTATACTGCTTTTTTTTAACTTAAGGAAAGCAGATGAATCTGATGTATCAATATGAATCTCTTTGAATGTTAAGATCTGAAAAAGTACTGTATTTTTTGGAGTATAAAATGCACCGGAGTATAAGATGCACCAAGATTTTGAAGAAGCAAATTCAAACCTCCCCAAAATGGTTTTTCACAAAAACGGCCCTGATTTTTTTCTTTCAAAAAAAGGGCATGCATAGCCTTTAGGAGGCTTGTAAAGTGCTCCGGGGGGGGGGGGACGGGACAAAAATGAGCAAAAAACGGTCCATTTTTTGTGCAAACGGGCCCATTTTTTGTAAAAAAAAAAAAAAGGGACATGCATAGCCTTTAGGAGGCTTATAGAGTGCTCCTGGGGGCTGGGGGGGAGGAAATTGAGCAAAAAGTGGCCCATTTTTCGCTCATTTCTGCCTTCCCCAGCCCCCAGGAGCACTCTGGAAGCCCCCTAAAGGCTATGCACAGCTATTTTGGTGAAGTGGCGGGGTTTCGGTGCTGTATTCAGTGCATAAGACGCACCCAGATTTTTAGCCTCTTTTTTGAGGGGAAAGGGTGTGTCTTATAATCCGAAAAATACGGGTAAGTGTCTTGGAGATGCCCATTTTCCAAAGTATATTTATCGATTCCATGGGAGAGGATCTTATTTTGTTTTGTCTGTAGGTACAGAATATGTTTACTAGTCACGTGTTTTATTAGTAGTCACTTTGTGTATTCTGTAAGCAGATAAGTGAAATAAACACTGAAACAACAATAATAGTTTTAGGCATTTATAAGCTCTTGATGGGTATGCTATTTATTTGGGTCTATTAAGGCATTTTCAATATTTATTTTTTCTGGTGCTGGTTTAGTAAACCTCTACAAGCTTTA